ATTTGGTATTGCATATGCCTCAGACCACTTGGTGAAATAATCCATCACCACACAAATGTACCTGTTTCCAGCATGATTTGGGGCAAAGGACCGGCAATGTCAATGACTACTCTTCCATTGATGCACCAACTTGAAATAACTTCATTGGAGCATGTCCCTTATGCTTGGGTCCCATTTTAGCACAACATGTACTGCAAGTCCTGCACCATTCTTCCACATCTTGCCTCATATGTATCCAGTAAAATATCTGTCACAGGTGATTCAAAGTCTTCTTAACTCCGAGATGTTCTCCTGCTAACCTATCATGGGATTGGCACAGCACAACTTCCCATAACTTTCTCAGTATAACTGTTTGCCAGGTTGTCACTTTCCCATCTCTGGAGAAGAATACCATCTTCAAGCTTCAACTGGACCCATTGTACCCAATACTTCTTTGTCATAAGGATTAACCTAGACACCTTCTCCCAAGCAGAGTGAAAAACACTTGCTTGTAGAAAATCAATTATTGGCTTGGTCTTTTTCCTGTTTTGCTTTAATATCTATACTTGGTTCCACTTCACCATCATCAACTCCTTCAGTCACTTTGACTTCAGCTTGCTGGCACCCAGTTAATACTACCTCTCTTTTAACACTTACTGGAATTTGGCACTTGTTGTTCCCAAACGTCATTTTATCAAAGTTAACTACACACTTCCTCGGTATTAAGTAGTCCAACCCTAATATGCATTGGTCTTCAATGTCAGCCAAGTATACTTTGTGTCTGTCCTTTATGCACAAGAGCTCAATAGTTACCCACACTGGTCCCCACAACCTTGTATAATGTCCTGTCACACCACAGAGCTTCTGTATGGCTTCTGGTACTTCTTTGTGATTTAGCACCTTGATACTCACAAGGGTTTGCTGAGATGCAGAATCTATGACAAAGTTGCACTTTTGGCCATCCAGCTTTCCTGTCACATAGACACTATGTGTACTTGCTATTTTATACTTAGCTGTTGGGACTTTCACGATGGGGTTTGGTGGGCGTCCCTCAACACCAACCACTACTGGTCTCCCAGAGGCTGACTTATTGGTAGTATTCTTCTTACACTGGTTCTTCATATGTCCTTGCTCTCCACAGTTCCAATGGCATCTTTCCTGTGTTGAAGTTGCCAGCATTGAGCTCTCTTGTGCCAAGGTTTGTTACAGTGCTAGCAAAGTCCCTCAAACCTCTCTGAAAGCTGCTCTTTTCTGTTCTTGAATCCTGATGACTGTACCAACCTTGGTACCTTTGTGCTGGACTTAATGTAGGATTCGAATTCACGAGCTCTGACCATTGCATCCTGCATAGTAGAGGGGTTTGCTTGCTTTACTTGTATCTTCAGTTGTGTACTGCCCAAGGGATCTACAAACTGATCCCTCAGCAACAGCTTGAGGACATTGGGTGGTGCAGTTAGGAAGTTTTGTGTGCCATACTTTCCAAGTCCTGTGCCAGTTCTTGCAGGCTCTCCCCTTAGCATGGACTTTCATCCTAAACTTAGCCCTGTAGACTTCGGAATGATTTTGGGTTCCATACCTGACTTCTAGAGCAGCTACCAGTGCTCTATAGTTGTGCCCGTCGTCTGCTGACAACTGTCCAAGTATTTCCAGTGGTTGTCCCTTCAAGCTTGTTCCCAGATACACTGCATTCTGCTCCTCTGTCCATACATTCATTTCTGCTAGGAGCTCAAATTGTGCTCTATATGCTTCCCATGGTGCCTTCTCATCAAATTTCTGTGGCTTCCTTCATACTAGATCAACCCTATTGCTGACACTCATGTCTGGAATGTGACTTCTGGCCAGACTGAAGATGTCTGCATTAGGGTTTAGCTGTAGGGTCTGGAAAGGGCTTCCTGTTGTCTGGGGCTAATTAGGTCCATGGCTAATATATCCTCCCTGTGTAAAAGACAGTAAATTTTCCTTTAATGTATTTAATTCACTTTGTAATTTACTAATCTTTTCCATTTGTACTTCTTGTTTCCTTTCTTGTTCCAGTTGCCACTGGTGCTGGTTTTCTTGCCACTGCTGTAGTCTCTCTTCTTTCTTCATTTTCTTTCTCCTCCAACCACTGCTTTATCCTCTCTTCTTGTTTCTTTTCTTTCTCCTCCAACCACTGGTGTAGTCTCTCTTCTTGCTTATTTTCTCTTTCTTGTTTCTTTTCTTTTTCCTCCAACAATACTGTAGTCTCTCTTCTTGTTTATTTTCTTTTTCCTCCAACAATACTGTAGTCACTTTTCTTGTTTATTTTCTCGTTCTTCTTGTTTCTTTTGCTGTACTTGTATTGCTGCTCTCAAATCTGCTAAGCTGTAGTTTGATTTGCCACTTCTCGTTTCCATCTATTTTTTTTTTCGTCCCACTCTCTGACACCAATTTGTTACATATCTGCTTGTTTCTT